TTCAGAACCGTGTGATCGTAATTGGTGTGGAAATACATTGCAAATTCATGGGAAACCATATTTAAATAGTCTTAGATAGCTTTAGAATTATCAATTCAAAACACTTGCTCTGCAGGATCTGCGCTGACATCGCCCTCTGCTGGTGGCCTAACAAAATACAATTGTGTTTGTAACAAGCGCAAGGTTTCAAATCAGCCCAAAATAAGGATATTGAAGTGTATTCCCGTTTTAAGACTTAATGGGGATTGTTTCATATTTTAAGGTATATTTGAAAAAAATAAAATAAAATGGTTTGTAATTGTTTATTCTTAATGTTCAAACGACTTCAAAGAGTTCAATACATTGCACACGTGTAGCCTAAGTTTTTAAATTGTAAGTTTTATTTAGAAAAAAATTGGTTCAAGCTAAATCATCAATTAAAATAGTTTTTAATTGTTTATTTTTATGTTTAAATTAGTTAAAATATTTTAGAGAGTTCAATAAATTACAATACACACACACACACACACGCACACACTGTTGTTTGCTGTATGTGTGTGTGTGTGTGTGTGTGTGTGTCCTCCTCAAACAAGTCCAGTGATAATATCGTTTTTCATTCAAATAAATAAAACAAATAAATCTTTTGTTCATGTTGTAATCCTGATTAAATTTATTTTTTTGTGTGCGGGAAGGAAAAGGCGTCTTTAAAAATACTGAAATAAACCTGAATAGCCTAAAGATTACATCACTACAAACCTGGCATAGGCTAGCATATATTATTTAAAACCGTTCTACCTTTTATAATCTCGGACATTCTCATTTAGCCTACCCACATAAATATTAAGATTTAAACTGCGTGAAGGCGCTATATGGAGTCTGCTTTGTAAAGAAATTGTCTCTCTTGCGCTACCAAAACAAAGCTGTTCCCTTGAGAAAATAGCTAAACACCATGTAATTTTAGCTCTATTGCACCGTTTTAAAATTGATTGTGTTCCGCGACCTTAGGCGAATTAACGCTATGCATTTAAACGTTTTTAACGGTATGTCGGCTTCTAGTGTTCCCCTTGTTCCAAATGTGGCCAACAACACAAGCCCGGTCATTGTGACATGGCGCTATTCCTCCCTCAAAAAGACCAAGAACGATGGGAATTCAAGAAACGAGCTTTATTTTGGAGGTGCCACCTATTTGCGGCTCATAAAAACAATATTTAGGTTGTGCTTGAGCGTTACCTCGCTGAATAGGCTCTATTCATGTGGGGTTAAGAGTGTAGCGTGGGTCCTGTGAGGAGGTAGCGTGGGTCCCTGTGTTTCGGGGAGGAGCTGTCAGGGTTTCGGAGGACCCGGAGAATAGGGACCCGCCAGAGTCTCTTGCTTGGGTTCGAACTGCGGTGATTTAACTGCATAATCGGATTGAAAGTGAGCCGCGGAATTTATGTCAGTTCACATTTCATCAAACGGCGAGTGTGAATTGAAGTCGACAGAACAGAGGGTTAATCCAGAACTAAAGCCAAAATAATTAGGGGCCCCCATCTAATCTCCTGCTCATTCTAACACCCTTGAATGACATTAAAATATGGCAACGCTTGCTGTTGGCAGTCAAATGTGTTCCCCAACTTTAAATGGGCCAATCAAAGCCTGGACTTTGAAAGCTGAGGTTTGTTCACAGAAGCCATCATAGCTTTGGGTGTCAACCACAGCAGTGAATAATTCAGACAAGCTTATTATGTCATGTTAAACATTTAATTTTTTTTATAAACTCGTTCCTTAAAGTAGGCTACATAAATGCTATTATGGGCCACAAATATGGGGTAAGTTGTCACATTGTAACCTGCCTGCTTAAAAAGTAAAATATGAAAATCGTGGATTTAGCGTGGATCGTGGATAATTAATAAATTGATTATAACTTTTATAACATTTTAAACACGTGACAGCTGAATTTTTGTTTGGAGGACACAATTCACAAAACAAGAAAAAGAGAAACAAAATCTTGTATTCATATGGTAGAAGTTTTGTTGGCTTCTAATAAAGATTTTTTTTCTCTTAAAGTTTTATCTCTTCCTTTTAGTTGAATGTTTCACTAAACATTAAAACTTAATAAAGTATTCTAAGAGGAATATTAACTTAGTTTGTGATACATTTTTAAGAATCCATTTGTTGTTCATGCTTAATCCAAAGTCTACTGGATAGATTGAGACTTTCTTTTGTTTGCCAAATCGTAAAGGTGCAGTTCATGGTTTTTCCTCTTTGTCGCCATCTCTTTTCGAAATCTGCAATACGCTGATTTCACGCAGCCGCCATTTTGAAATCAAAAGCGAGGCTCCGGTGGGAAGAACCCCGGAAGACTAGGGTGACCATATTTTGATTACCAAAAACCAGGACACTCGGCCCGGCAAACAGATGGGCCTACTCAAATGATACTCGAAGTTTACTCAAAGATACCTTATTAATTTCAATAGATTTAAAGTAGGTTATGCCTCTTCTGTATGGATAGAAAATGGTTATTTTGTTATATGAAAACAGGACATGTCCTGGGAAAACAGGACAGTTGGTCACCCTAAGATAGACAGCAATGCCTTGGACTACCAACCTGAAGCTGGTGCCGCGATTTATTGGATGTTAATATCCAATATATATATATATATATATATATATATATATATATAGTTTGTTCCTGCTTCTTTTTTACGTTCTGAATTACTGTATATACTGTATATACAAATATTTTATTTATAAATGAATTTGTATATAGTCTAAAGTATGAAAGAAATGTATGTAAATTTTTAGAATAACTAATTTCTACATTAAACAACATGCCATCACATTCACAACTCTCCTATGATTAAAGGCGACACTTCTAGTTTTCTTCCCACCGGAGCCATTTCAAAATGGCAGCTGCATAAAATCAGCGTATTGCAGTTATTCACGGAATTATCAACTTTACGTGGGTTGTGCCTCGACTACATTTAATGCCCTTCAGATATTATCCTTGTTTTCACATGGGTTGCGGCCTCCTTTTTTCTGTAGCCACTCCAAAGTCCAAACGAAGTCTTTTGCGTTTACGGCGGGTGAATATCCAGTCGTCACTTTGTCCTTTGAACCTTTCTGAATCCGCCATCAAGTTTAATTATATCAAGAGCTGTGAGGAAAGGCTACAAATCTCCACCTCCAACATCCTCACACACAATATAGCCAACTAGCTGAGATGTACATGCTCAAAAATTTTGGGATAATTTTTAACCCAAAAAAGTTACGGAATGCAGAATATTCTCAAATGCTCCCCAAAATTTGCTTCCCAAAAACTAACCTCATGCTTAGACAAAATCCTAACCATGGCCATTCGTCACCACCCCAACACTGACCACATCACAGATTTTTGCTATGCTGGAATGTAAGTCATTTGCTTCAAAGCAGTGGATGTGCGTCGAACATTGTTAATTGTTCTTGACATTTTTTCAGTTGCTCTTAGGCCACAATTTACAAATAAAATCCCTTGTTTTCATGCAGCTTCAAGCCTCTCAAACTTGCTATATTTTGATTAGATCGAACAACTCAACCTTACACTAATTAAAAAATAAATAAATAAATAAATAAATAAGACTGAAATTAAGACATTTAATGTCTGGGAGAGACGAGGAGAAGCAGGAAGTCAGCCCAGGTCAGGAATGTCAGACAGGAAGTCCTCCTTGTGTTTAGATGACTACTTCTGAAATAGACTTCCTATTCCCTGCGATTGGTAGGGTGGTGTTTTTATTTTAAGATGGTGATAGGGGAGGGTGACCACAAAACGCACAGCTTCATTGCCCTTAGCTGATAATACATTGGTAAATAAAGGGGGTGGCAAAGTAGGTAAACTGCCAGAGGGGACCCTTCTGTATAACCAATAGAGTATATTTGCTCTGTAGTTATAAGGGATGCATCTCCAACCTTCTACGAGAAGCTACATTCAGTCCAAATTAGTCTCAGCGGAAAAGCTCTGTTAGTCTGTCTCGGTCCTTTGGTTATTGATGCAAAGACAACAAAGTCTAGTCACATCTATTTTTAGCACATACTGCTGCTAAGGAAGAACGATAAAAGATGTAGCCTTGTAATCTCACAATACAAGGCTTGCAAAATATCAAAAAGCATAGAACATTATGAATCGGCTAGATCCAAAAAGTACTGTATAGTCAGTCATTATAGCTAAATAAAGAGAAGCAGGGTGATTAATGCTTGTATATCTCTGAAAGGATTTATTTAGCAGTAATGATCAGCTATGCTTATTGACTGCTTATTATAATGGCAGCAAACCAAACAAATGAATAGAAATGGACATTAAAATGGGGTTAAAAGAGAAGGAGTGAAAAGCTGGTAGACATTAGAGGAATAGTTCACTTAAAAATGAAAATTCAGGCATTTACTCACCCTCAAGTTGTTTCAAACCTGTATGAATTTCTTTCTTCCGCTGAACATAAAGGAAGAATGTTGGTAACCAAACAGTTGAAGTACCCCATTGACTAAAATACCCCATTGAAAAAAAATAAATAAAAATACTATGGGAGTCAACGGTTTTCAGCAGAAGAAAGAAATTCATACAGGTTTGAAACAGAGTAGATGATGACAGAATTTTCATTTTTAAGTGAATAATTCTTTTAAACTATAGTTGTGTAGGAAACAGTTTACCTTGGACTACAGTCAATTTACAATTTAAGCATGCAAAGAGCCACAATTAACCAGTTAAAATAAAGCATTCCGGAGAGCTGAGTAATTATAGTCTATTTTGAATAAACTTACATCAAAATTCATTTCAACACATCTTCATCAACAGTTGTGTGTACTAATACTTAAGTATACTTCGTGTGGGTTTGTGTTTGGTAGAGCCTGAGAGAGATGTAAACACAGTCAGCGGGTAAGTCACAGGCCACGACACTTAACAAAATAAACAAATTCATTAAGGGGCCTCTGAACTTCCTCTCATTCCTCTCATGTTTGCTTTACAACCAGCAGCTGTGAGCGATCACAAGACACTGGTAAGAACTTGCAAATGATCGCCAATGATGATGTCAAACCACATACAACCTTTGTTCGATTATCCCAAGCACTTCCTCTGAAACATATTGGATTATAACTACCTCAGACACAGAGAGGCACTGTTGCACATGAAGGCCACCCCCACACTCACCATCTGGATCATTTAGAGGGCGGAGTGCCCGCTTTCCCTCTGTCCCTCATGCGCTCTCTCCCTTCCTCCCTTCCCTTCCTGCCGGCCTCTGAGCAGAGGATGTGTCTGGGAGTGTGAGAGAGCAAGGCTGGCGGTGAAGTGGGTATGTACCCTCTCTCTTCTTCCCCCTTGTTACTCTCTGCGTCTCTGCTGATTGCTCTCTTCTTCCTCCCTGTTACTCTCTGCGTCTCTGCTGATTGCTCTATCTGGCGACACTAAGCAGGCCCTCTGGGCAGGGCAGTCTCTTAGTGGCAGAACGGTGGACGGTGGAACAACAAGTCTAAATGTCAGACGGAGACACGAATGGTCGAGACAATCATGAAGGTACACATCCTTTCTGTTTGTTTGCAATGATGATATGCAAGTCATACTGTTGCATTAGTAGAGAGATCTAGAGTGTATATCTATATAAAAGAGCATAAAATTCAATATAACTAGCATATGTGTCTGCCAGGGGAATTATTTTGGGTTCCACCCACCCCCATAATGTCCAGCCATAATAGTCTGCTTGACTTTTTGCCATATATATATATGGGTCACATGGATGCATTTCAGCACCACAGTAAATTAATAACAAGACCCATTCATAATGCACAATGTACTTAACATACATGAAATCTAACATTGTGCCGTGCAAAAATGCTAATAAACACAAGAGTTTATATCCAAATAAAACACAATAGCAAATATGTGTTCTCCATAATTAGTTTTAGTAGTAATGTATAAAACATTCAGTACATACCTACAACATCCTCCGAGGTCTTTAAGTGATTGTATATGATTCTTGTACAAGTCATGAATCATCAACGCATTCTCACCCCAAGGCGTCACCTTTGACCATGCTTCAATATTTGACGTTTTAGGCGCCCTTTAGCGTCACTTACATGACGCGATCCTACGGCGTCATCTAACTGACGCTAAAGGAAAGCGTCAGTTAGAGGACGCGGTTAGGTTTAGGTGTGGGGTGGGGGTAGGGTACACGCGATCCTAGGGCGTCATCTAACTGACGCTAAAGGGCGCCTAAAGCGTCAGATATTGAAGCATGTCCAAATGCTTCCCAAGGCGTCAGTTAAGTGACGCCTTGGGGGTGAGAATGGGCTGGAATCATTGTGGTTTTGGCCAAATTCCTGGTGAAGTAATACGTTATCCACAATTCTGAAGAAAGGGACACAAATTAGAGTAGTCAGTGTAACCATAGTAATGTGAATGACAGCACCTCAACACAGCTTAATGATGTAATTAAATCATGGCTGAATAGATTACATAATTTTAAGTGCTTTATGGGTTATTCATTTTGTTATTACAAAGTCTTACAAATGTATCTTTATTTCTAATTTTCAAATGCCTTTTTGCTCCAAATTAAACTTTAAATCAAACTGTCATGTTGTGAATAAAAGATACGTTACCTGCCTAAAGCCCGGAGAAAAAGTGTATGGTCAGTTGTACATAGACCACAGCTGTAAGCTGGCAAGTACTTGAACTGGTCACTGAATTATGAACCTCTGTTTTGCATGATTCTGCCATTTATCATGGAGAGGGGACAAACATGCAGTTTCTGAACTGAAACTGTTTTAGTAATAGTCTTCTTACATACTTTCCCGTGGGTGTTTCAGCTCTTGAGCACTCACAGGATTGAGGCTTACAAAATGGAAATTGCTGCGTCAAGAGCTGAGTCATTCTTAGGAGAAGAGATCAATTCATCTGAAGAAGTTTCAAAGTTTGCCCAAAAGTCTCTTTTAGATAGCATTATGCTGGCTTAAATGATCTGTCTCATGAACATATAGAGACGGTTTAAGTATTTCACTCTGCAAATCAAACAAGGCTTTCAAAAAATAAGTATGCATTCTCTTACACAATCAGCAATAACTTCAAAACATTGAAGCTGAACAACTGTACAATTCACATTGGATTTTGTCTGCGGTGGGCATAGTTATTTCGGTTCTGTATCACATGAGCTAAGTATTTTTTTCCCCATTTTGACTGAAAGATGCCCTTGTCCCAGTTGAGGTGTGGCCAGAGCTGGAGAGAGCCGAGTGTTTGGCTCGGGGCGCTGCGCTGAAATGGGCGTCAGGTGTCTTTTGTCGTCCAGAGCATCTGGAGAGACTTGGACAATACAGGAAAAGAGAGAGTCAACGAACTGCGTCGATTCATTCAAGGTTAAAGGTAAGTGGTGATATTTTTAATTAGAAAGATAAAAAACAGATCTAAATCTAAATGATCTAAAAACAACTGCAAGAAAAGTAATCTGCTCATTTGCATTTTTAAGTCAGTTGTACAGTCCTACCTGGAAGGTGTTGACTGGGGCCTCGGTCAATTGCGAGAAGCACGAGCTGAGCTCAGAGAAGTGTCTCATGACATGCACAAGGTCAACTTGGAGTCCAGGAAAAATTCTGAAGTAGTAACTACACTGGAGACACTTCGGGATGTTTCTGTCAATCACCGCCAGCTCTTTGCTGCAGTTAGCAACCTTCCACGTCTCTATAAAGGTTAGTGATTCCCTGCCCTTTTCAGTGAACTGCATGTCCTTAATTATTTTGCATGCCATCTATGGATATTTTGGTTAAGTATTGAATGTCAGAGCAAGGGTGTCCGATCCTGGTCTAGGAGATTCTACAACATAACTGCCAGGAAGTTTCCAGGAATCCTGAAGGTCTTGATTACCTTAATTGTGGTTGGAGCTAAACTCTTCAAGACAGTGGGCCTCCAGGAGTAGGATTGGACAACTTGCCTAGAAGTCAAATATTCTCAAATACATAAAATATGTGAAAGCAAGCAATTCTAGCCAAGCAAATTTGCTTTTATTCGTCACTGAAGGACAGACTGAATTGCAGACACTATAGTGGGTATACTGTAAAATGTCTTGGTCTCCAGTTTTTAGGTCCACTACTGTTAAGGCAGAGCAAAAATCTTGCAGAGCAAGAAAGTCACTATTAAAGTTGACAAGTCTATAGCAATCTAAATAATAACACAGCTCTATCACCCACTTAAGTACTGAGGTTTGTTAATGCCAAAAGCCGCGTTTCCACCGCAGGAACTTTCCCCAGGTACTAGGAACTTTGGGGTGGTACTTGGTGTGTTTACACTGCAGGAACCAGGGTCTAAATGAAGTTCCGGGTAAAAATACCCCCCCCCCAGAAAGTCCCTGCTGGCGAGGTAGTACTTTTTCAGAGTTCAGGAACTTTCGGGGTGGGACTTGTGCACTGAACAGTCTGATTGGTTCTTACCACGCTATTCTTTCTGCCCGATGGCGCGTTCGTCCTATTCATATCACGGTCAATGTCCGCTGGTAACAAACATCAACTTTTAAATCTAGCATTACGAGCTTTCTGAATACGCTTTGGGTGCTCGTCTCTTTTCTGCTGTTTTGTTAATTACCTCGTTAGTAAACCAATCGCACACAAAAAAGCAGCAAAGCTTGAATCTCCTCCATACAAAAAAAAAAAAATGCGCAGGCTAGGAAGAGCAGTCGCACGCAGTTCAACGTCATCTTCCCGCCCCGGTACTTTAGTATGTGGTGTAAACTCAGTAAGCAAGCGGTCTGGGTGAAAAAAAATTCCTGTGAAAAAAGTTCCTGGGACAAATAGTTCCTGGTAATTGCGGTGGAAACGCGGCTAAAGTAATACAAGATTTGTTGTCTCCTCTTTCATGTCAGTGCGGAGTATGGTGCTAGAGACAGAGAGGCTAGTGGAGTCTCGGAGACTATTGGAAGCTCATGCTCGGCTAATGGAACTAGAGCGCTGGCAGGATGAGGTACTGCGGCAGCTACAGGGACCCAGGGGATCATCTGGAACAGCATTAACATCTGAGGATGAGGAGTTGGTGCGGAACTATTTCTCAGGTGTTGGATGCCTGGTGGATGCCCTTGCCAAGGAGCTCTGGGCAGTAGTGGGGAGTGGGTTGACGCTTTCTCATCAGAACCCCACACCTTTTGTGTCAGCTGTACGGATAGTGGAGCGAGAAGAAGCACTAGATCAGATCTTTCTGGAAGAGCGGAGGTCAGCATTGGGACACAACACACCAATGCCCCCTGGGAGGCCACGTTGTTGGAGGGACCGCTTCTTCAAGGTTTGATGATAAGCACTCTATTGGTAGAAGTAATGGAATGGGTTGTTTGTATGATGGCGCGACTAAATTTAAAATGTAAAAAAGGCTTGTGATTTGCATTTACTTAATATGCACATGTTCAAACTATTTGGTTAGGTGATAGAGGAGGCAGTGTCAGCACGTTTCCGTAGCGTGTCCTACTTGCACACTCAAGGACCAGGGCTTGCAAGTCACTTGTCTGCTCTACAGCACTGCATCATGGGAGATCTTTCAACAGTGCGGCATTTTCTGGAACAGTGTGTTCCAACTCACTATCATTTAACAAGAGCTTACCTGCGCTCCTGCCACCAGTTCTTGCAGACCCATCTTGGACTGGTTAGTGGATGGGAGCTAGAGGGTGGGGAAATCTTCGCTGTTCTTAACTGGGTTCTGCACATATACAACAGGTAGGTAAAGCTTTCGATTCTATGTGAATTTGGTCCTTTTGTAACCGAAATGTTGTACACATCAGAATGTGTTCTTTAAGCTCAGAGATGATGGGTGAGCCAGCCCTTGTAGCTGAGCTAGACATTGAGGATATGGGACCTCTCATATCTCAGGAAGGTCTTGAGCAGCTGCAGAACAAATATGTCCAAAAAGTTCGGGTAAGAGCCAGGGTGGGGTTTTAGTCTCTAAACTTTTATCATTTACCTTGTCCTGTCTGGATTAACAGGCCACATGTTCTTGAGAAGTTTTACTGTGATTGTTTGCAGAAAAGTGTCTCAGAGTGGATGCAAAAGGCTCTAGAGGTAGAGCTGACAGACTGGCAGAGAGATCAGGAACCAGATATTGACCATGAGGGCTGCTATCACACCAGCCTTCCAACCATCATCGCTCAGGTACTTCAGCCAGGGGCGGACTGCCCATCTGGAGCACCGGGACTTTTCCCGGTGTGCTGCTGGCCAATGTGGGCCAGCCCGGTACAAATATCTAGTATCAAAAATATATATAAAACAATGACGGAAATCATAATATTACATTTCTTTTCTACGCAAATGGATAAGGGAATCGATCGCGCGGCCGACAAGGAGTGCGTTTCGTGTGAATGAATGTCACTGTAGTAGTGCAGCTGTGCATAAAGCCCATTCAACAGGTTCTGAACATGGTTCTGAAGGCGAAAGTTAGCTCCCCCTGACTAGCGTTGTGTTATTTAAAATAAATGTTTAAATAGCATATAGCTTTGTATTGTGTTATATTTTTATGCTATTAGTGGTGTTAAAAATATTCTGCACATTAATGAGCCAATTTGTTATGATGTGGGATGTGGTGGTACGGAGGCCGAGAAAGCTCAACGCGTTGCAACTGAATGAAAACGCATGTAAATAGAATAAACACCCGCAAATTAAAAAAACATCTTCATCAGTTTCACAACACACGTGTGCACCAAATACTCACAACACCACCCAAATACAGAAACCCGCAAATAACACAGACCACAATGGAAATCTTTTCAGGGGAACCAAATAAGTGACTAACCCTTACAGCTTAAAATTCTACTTTATGTATTTATTTATTTTTGCAAAACGTACAGAGATTACATTTTTGTGACATACAACTTGTATAAAATATTCAAAATGTATTAACAATATGTTCAATGTCATCAGAATACAAATGAGAAAAGAACAATGAGCTGAAAACTTAACTAAATAAATAAAGATAGAGAAGAACATGAAGGAAAGATATTTATCTTTAATAATTTTTCATAAAGAAAAGTTTCATAAGAAATATTAGGTAATGTAGGGTCCAAAGTTTTAAAGTTGAGACACACATGTACACATATTTTAGCGCTTCGTCACTTAGGCCTATTTGGTTTACCTGGAAACATTTCCGTTGTGGTCTGTGTTATTTGCAGTGCATTTCTGTATTTGGAGCACACATGTGTGGTGAAACTGATGATGATGTTTTTTTTTAATTTGCAGGTGTTTTTTTGTATTTGCTTCAGTTGCAGCACGTTGAACTTTCTCGGCCACCGAACGGTGGGCTGCTGTGGGCCAGAAAGTCCAGGGCCACTTTTTGGTCCCAGTCCGCCCAATGGCTAGATCTACAGAAGCAATGTTGCCATCCAAAGTTGTGAATTTAACTTCTGCTCTAAATGTACGCGCAACTTCGTTCTTTTGCAATATATCAAAATGTGCATAAAACAGGTGGATGGAAACTTAGCCAATGAGAAAGATTTGATCCGATATCAGTACTGATGTATGAACTGCTCTGATGTCTGGGTTATTAGATGCTTGAAGAAAATGCACGGGTGGCATTAATGATAAGTGAAGCTCTGCGGGACCAGACAATCCAAATGGGTCTTTATGAGATGGAGAATCTCCTCAGCCGGTGTGTATGTTTAGCAATACTGGTATCCTAATTCTAACTGATAATTCATATTTTTGTACTTTCTTCTCACTCTATTGTAACAGATTTCGAGATGCAATCATAGACTTTGGGAAGGAGCATCGCAGGGATCAAACCGTAAACAGTAACAAGTTCTACCTCCATTATCTACTGGCCTGCATCAGCAACTGCATCATCCTCAAGTGAGATGATGTACAAGTATCTTTTTACAGTATGTCTGTATTTGTGTGATGTTTGTTTGAAAATGTGTGTGTTTCAAATAGTTTTTCTGTGTGTTAGAGGTGCTTATAAACAGTATATTTAAACATTTTATTTAAATGTACATCTAGAACCTCCACAGAAAGTCTGCAGCAGCAGTTGTGCTCCTTCCCTTCAAACCGGTATTCTCGCATTTCACTTGGACCTCTGGGTGCCCTGGACCGTGCTGTGAGAAAGGCATGTCGCTTAGTCATGGACCATCTCTTGTTTGAGCTGCAACCTCATCTACAAGAGCTCCTGTCTCGTGCCTGGCTGGACCACGGAGATGTAACCTCAAATATGTGTGGGGTTCTAGAACGTCACTGTGAACTCTACAACAGAGTGCGGCAACCTTGTCGCCAGGTTAGTGTTTATACAAATTACATAGACCAGACCACACAATAAAATCAGTGTATATTTTTACCAACTAACATTTTGTGGTCATTCATCATCTACAGAGGCTAAAGGAGGAATGTCAATGGCTAACTGTTGTTGAGTATGTCCGAGCACTGATGCAGAAGAGACTAGTCTGCAAAAATAATGATGAGCGAAGTCAATTGGCCCAGCGAATGTCACAGGATGCTCAGCAGCTGAGGGACCACCTTCAAAGCATGGTGAAAGCCCATTTACATTTATTTTTGTACTTTAGGAGCATTTAGAAGTCTGCAATGGTTTTAAACTGTAGTTAGGACTGTATGACCTGATCTGGCCCAAGCCAACAAGTATTGGCAAATTTGGCCGAACCTGACCCAAATTAGCTTATTTTCAGATAAGAATATAATATGAGAACATGCAATGATAGGGCTGGTCACATTTATGCAATCTGACACCACAAATAGGCAAATAAGAATGTTAACCCGGGGTTTAGGAATGTAGGCCTACAGTGTGAAATTTCAGTTCATGAATACCCATGAATCTGTTTACCTGGGGTCCAGAATGGTTCAGGGATAACTATTTTAAAGTGTGAATATATCTCCTGTTTATATTTCTTAGCAAGTAGACCCAGGCACACAGGTTCAGCTTTGACTCAAAGATTACAAAAAGTCACATTATTTAAAACAACCCATTAATTGCAAACCCGAGTCTGACACAAACCTAAGTCATTCATGTGAAACTGACCTGAACTCGACAATTCATTGGATCTCATCAGGCTCTGGTCAGGTAGCAGACCTCTAGGAAAAATACAAAAATGTGTTATGTCTGTGGAAATGATATTGACTTTGACTATTTCACTGCTGTAATGCTGTTTTTATATTTAAAGGAGATTGATGGGACAATAGGCGAGGTGAATCCCACAGCTTTGATACTTACACTGGCTGACATAATCAATGTGAAAGACCCAGGCATGCTAATACTGGAGATTTCTGGACTGGTAGCCAAGTACCCTGATATTAAGTAAGATTTCAAACCAAGCATACCCTTAATATTCTAAAATCAATACTAATATAGAGATTATATGAACTTACAAAGAGTGTCTTTTCACTTCAGTGAGGAGCATGTCTCCGCCCTGTTGGATGTAAGAGGGGATGTGCCCAAAGATGTGCGGAAGTCAATACTAGATTTTCTGGAGCAGAGCACCCCACCTTTACCACCAGGATACCGCTCTATATTCACAGAAATCCTTGTGCCCTCATCCAGCATGCATTTTTGTCTGCCTACTGCAAAGTGTACTTGAGAAGCACTCAGATAAACTACCTATCCAGCCTAGCGAATGGGAAATTAATTTTTAATTAATCAATATTCAAAAAGACTTGTCTATTCGTTTTCTGCTTTGTCTTGTCTAAACAATCCCCTGTTATATTAGTAAATCATAATGTGCCCACAAATATTTACATTTATGATCTCGCCGAATGCTTACTTACAAAAAAGTGCAAAAACAAAATGAAACATGTATGGTAGATACAAGAGAAAGCACTATACAATCTGGCTCATTGCATTTTTAATTATTTGGGGGTGATCTTTTTTTTTAATGTAATTTTATAAAAATGTTAACATTACCAAACATAGCGTTCCGAAAGATATTAAATCAGTTACTTTAAAACTTGTATATTGTGTTCACTATGTATATTGTGGTTGACTGTCAATAAAGTAATGCATTTTAAAACAACATTTATTTAAAATTGTTTCAAGGTCATTACGCTAACAGCCAACAATGTAAGCAATGGCACATGATGAATATAGTGTACCATTAACAATCTGATAACACTGTACCATGACACATTATTTAGTTATGACATTATTTCAGCCATATTAGTATTTGTAGATATTATTGGACCTGTGGATACGTTTTCATTTATAGGATACTGCTTTGAGACATGAGCATAAACAGGCTACTGAGAAATAAAAGAGAAATAATAATTATTATAATAATAAAAACATGTATCAAGGGATTATTTTCGATTAATATGTTAAGAGGCATTTACCTCTTTGTTTGCACTCGACACCATCAGCTTGAAAAATGATTTGTCAATTGATCAGGCTATTATCTAAATTTAATGCACAAACATTTGCTTTACAATCTACAAAAAAATTAGGGAATTCTGAGAAGGGAATCACGCTACAACAACACTCACAAACAACAACAAGACACGCTTTTAAAGAGCTTTCCGGGCCCAACATTTCAAAGACAAGGGCAGCCAATAACCTACCTTGATTTAAAATCGCAACTTTGACTAATATGTGAGCTGTTTCTTCGTTATTAAACACAAAACATCAAAATGATAAACCTAAAAGTATTAATTTTGGCAACGGTTGAAGGGAAGAAGCTTTATGTGGTCACGTGATCTTAGGGGCGTGACTTTTTGAAAAAAACATGGCCGCGCCCGGCGAGATCATGTTGTATTAATCTATTTGTGAACGATCTAGACATTTATGGTACAAAAACATTCATACTTTAGTGTGTTTATTTAAGACTGAAATTACAATGAAGACCTTTTGCGGTCGTGCAAATCCAACAACCGGAGCGCTGGACTGGGTTGAGGAAAGCGAGGAGTATGATTACCATCAGGAGATTGCGAGGTCTGTAATCCATCTCATGTAACATAATAACCATACTTACTCAGCAAATTATATTTGCCTCTTTATTTAGAAGTAATTTATGATATTTTTCCAAAAAGTTAACTTTACAAAACGACGTGATAATTCTAGACAGTGACTTGTTGCTATTGTTGATCTAACACGTGGACGTGTCGGTCGGTAACTGTGCCAGAATATCCATTACACTTAATCGAATTGTAGTCATGTGCTATCCTGTCATGAGACTGGGGGTAAATTATTTGGTCATCACTTTATAATGGTTTGTGTGTCTCCTACTTAGGTCCTGTTATGCAGATATGCTCCATGATAAAGACAGAGTGAGTGTTGTTGTTGGACACAAACATCCACATAATACTGTACAATTTCATAAAGACATATTGTTAATCAAAATAATGGTTCTAAAAATAGTGTAGCTCCTATAACGAAGGCTATTTTGCACTGAATTCATGTTCCACGTAAACGAGAAAATCAGAATGACATGACAGGATTTTCATTTTTTGACATTTTCCAAAAGTATATGGACTGATATGATCTGGTTTTAAACATAGAGAAACTTTGATACATTTTAATCATTCTGCTTTGTCTTCCTAAGAATGAGAAATACTACCGAGGCATTCGGGCTGCGGTGAGCAGAGTGAAGGCCCGCGGTGAACGGGTGGTGGTCCTGGACATCGGCACCGGGACAGGTCTGTTATCCATGATGGCTGTGACAGCTGGAGCCGACTACTGCTATGCCATAGAGGTACTTGCTAATGCTGATGTATTGAATGTCGATTAGTAAGATGGAATTTGGCTGAAGACAAAAATGTGAATACCACACAGGTGTTTAAGCCAATGGCACAGGCTGCCACTTCCATCACGGAGAGGAACGGTTTCTCCGACAAAATCAAGATCATCAACAAACACTCCACAGAAGTTACGGTTGGACCAGGTTAGATAACAATCATTATATTTATTGTCCAGGTGGATCCAACAAGTATTGTGCATTAGTGTTCTATAGTAGTGATTATAAAACTGATAATAACAGTTATGAATGTTGCTTGGTTGCAGCAGAATTCAAGAAGTATTAAAATATAGGATATTAAAGTATACTATTTTTTCTATGATAAATATTTTATGAAAATGTTAAAATGATATACCTATCATTTGTAAATTCTATATATTGTACATTTTTTAATACATAATGACATGCGGACAAATAAATATGTTAGCGAAATACATTCTTTTACCCCCATGTCACGTGTGGGACTCCGTAATGTTGTATATTAAATACTTTCCAATTCCATAAATAATATTTTATTAGATATTTATATGATTGTAATATTGGATTACATTTGTTTTATTTTATATATGTGTGTATTTTATATAAATGTGTGTGTGTGTATATATTTATATATATATAATTTATTTTTGTATATTTTTAAATGATGAAATATTAAGATTATATTTAAAAATATATATATTTTATAAATTAATTTGAAATATATATATATATAATATATGTGTATATATGTGTGTGTGTGGATATGAATACATGCGTTTAACATACATAAGCGACTTGAGTGTCATAGTGTAAATGTTGTGATGGACAACCTCATTTGTATCACCTTGAATGCCTTGCAAATATAATTGAGCTTGTATCTGCAGATGGAGACATGCAAGAACGAGCAAACATCCTTGTCACAGAGCTGTTTGATACAGAGCTGATCGGAGAAGGCGCGTTACCCAGCTATGAACATGCGCACACACACCTTGTCAAGGTAAATAAATACAGTTGAAAATTGCAGTTATATGTGTTGCTGTGTCTTTTAAGTGTTTAATGCTGCTGCTCTCACTGGCACAGGCAGGTTGTGAAGCTGTGCCACACCGTGCCACGGTCTATTCCCAGCTGGTGGAGTCGGATATGCTGTGGAAATGGTCACAGATCCAACCCATAGAGGTGGATGGGAACAAACTGCTGCCCTCATCTGCTGTAGTGGAGTGTGCAGGAGCGCCCTCTGTCTGTGACATCCAGCTTAGCCAGGTGTCTCCAGAGTCTTTCACTCCCCTCGGGCCCATCTGCACCATGTTCAGGTATAAGTTTGGATGGCAGTTCAGCTCTCTTAATTAAAATGGGATAATTAATTTTTTTTTAATAATTAACTGATGTATTTTTCCACTCTAGTGTTGATTTCAGCAAGCTGGTTAGCAGTGCTACTCAGTCCTACTCAGTACAGTTCAAGGCCCAAACCAGTGGAAGAGCACAGGTAGTCTTATCCTGGTGGGACATCGACATGGACCCTGATGGCAACATTGTGTGCACTATGGCCCCTAGTTGGACCTATTCAGACCCTCAAACTTACCCTGTAAGTACTGGTGCTTAGCTGCTTATATTAATGAGCGAATATCAAGAATCATCTTACATGACATTAGTTTTTGAACGTCACAATGCTTAAAATTACAGTATTAATTTACAAAAATATAAACATTTGGGGTGGAATGTCTTTGGAAGAGGCCCTTCTAATACGAACACTGTATTACTTTGACTTGGTATAAATATATTTGATAATATCTTGCATCATGTGATGTACAGTGGAGGGATCACTGGATGCAGAGTGTCTACTTCCTCCCTGCAGAGAAGAATGTTTCAGAAGGAGAAGAGTTGAGCTTAATCGTCTCCCATGATGACTATAGTCTGTGGTACGACCTAACGAACAGGTAAAATGCTTTCCAACATGCCCTCTGTTTTAAACGGAAAACTCTATGAGGAAGACGGTATTATATTTTTGACATTCTGTCTTTTAGTGAACAAAATGTTGTCAAAGTGGCGCAGTTTCGGCCATGCTGCACCTGTCAGGCCCACCTGGTCTGGACGAGGCCTCGCTTCGGGGAACTAAACGACGAACAGAGGACTGAGAGTTATGTGAACGCATTACGCAGTGTGAGTTATACTTTTACAATCACTGTTGATTTCCACGTGAGCTTGAAGTGCTGCTTTCTGGCGATGGCTCATAATTTAATGTGTTTCCATGTATGCTTGCAGATTCTGAAACCGGACAGTGTGTGTTTATCTGTCAGTGATGGGAGCCTGTTACCTATTTTTGCTCATCTGCTTGGATCTAAAAAGGTCAGTTTTTGCTTGAGTGTTAAGATTCACAAATTTAGGTCTGCTTTAAAACCTGGCGATCTGCCTTCTCCCTACACTTCTGAGGCAGCATCATAGGAACTCATAATTAAATAAAATTATAAGCAATACGCCACATGCCTTGCAATTGACCAGCTGTGTTTAATGATGGCATGATAGTAAGCTAACACAATTCAGTATTGGGTAAATAATCAGTTTTAAATGAAAATGGACTATTTTAGAGAGTAGCCTAAATTAAGTAAACAATAAGCAGCTCAATGCACTACACGAATCACAGTTGATTTCAGTAGAGTTGGATGTTAGCATTTTGCTAATGATGCAACATTAGGTAAATAATTTCTGAGTCAAACTGAACTATTTTTAATGAGTATTTAATGAAGTTTAAGTAAATTATAAGCAACTACACGATTTTTAATTGAATTGACCAATAAAGTTTGATGTTAGCTTGTTGCTAAGCTAACAATGCAATATTTGTTATTTCATAAGAGTTGGATGTTAGCATGTTGCTAAGATAATGATGCAATATTAGGTAAATGATTTCTGAGTCAAACTGAACTATTTTTATTGAGTACATTATAGATTTTAAGTAAATTATAAGCAACTACACTATTTTCAATTTAATTGTCTAATAGAGTTTGATGTTAGCTTGTTGCTAAACTAACAATGCAATATTTGTTATCTGTTTTAAGTGAAAATAACCTATATAAAACAAGTAAATTATACATTTTAAGTAAATTAAACAGTTTGATGTTAGCATGTTGCTAAGCTAACTTCAGGAATAATCTCTGTATTCTGGGTTTGCGTTTTCTGTGAAGGATAAATAGTGCTGTCTTAAAATGTAGCATTGAAAGCATCCCTATGATGCCTTAAAATACTGCCTTGGTAGGCAGCTTACTAAGTTTTGAAACAGAACTTACTGTATATGATTCTTTTTTTTACTTTCTGTCTT